TCGAGTTCACTGTGAAATGCTGAGCTATTTTTTTTTTTACTTTTGCTTTGTTTTTTTAAGTATTTGTTAATGAATATTTTTTTAATTTTTTTTGTTAATATTAATTTTTTTATTTAGTTATCAAACTTTCATGACATAGATTCTAGATTTGACAAGTTAACCTATATTTTTTTATTTTTTAAAAAATTTAGTTTATTAATATTAAATTTTTTTCTATTTAGTTATCAAATTTTCATAACATAGAACTCAGGTTTGACAGGTTAACCCAGTTAATTTAGATTTTTTTTTTATTTTTCTTCATTAGTTTTTTTCTTCTTGAAGGTTTTTTTTCTTCTTAATTAATTTTTGTTTTGTTTAATTTAGTTCATTAATATTAATTTTTTTCTATTTAGTTATTATATTGTCATGAAACGAATCTCAAATTTAATGGGTTAACCTAATTTGATGGGTTAACCCAGTTGATTCAGATCTTTTTTTCTTTTTTTATTAGTTTTTTTTAATTTTATCTTTTAATATCATAATTAACCCACAATGAAAAGGCTGGGAAATTTTTATTTTCTTTTTTCTTTATTTTTTTAATAAATATTTGTTTTTTTTAATTTAGTTTACTAATGTGAAATTGTTTTCTATTTAGTTATCAAACTTTCATAACACGGATTCCAGATTTGACATGTTAACCAATTTTTTTTTTGTTTTTTTAATTAATTTTTTCATTTAATTTAGTTTGCTAAAGTTAAGTTTTTTTCTATTTAGTTATCAAACTTTCATAATACATATCCTGGGATTGACGGGTTAAACCGGGTAATTCTGTGTTGACGTATAATTTGTTTTTCTATGTAGTTATTAAACTTTCATGACACGAATTCCAAGTGTGACTGGTTAACCTATGACTGATTAACCTAGTTTGAAGGGTTAACTTAGTTAATTCTCTATTTCTTCATTAGTTTTTTTCTTCATTTACGCTTTTTTTTCTTTGTTTTTCTTTTAAATGAATATTTTTTTTGTTCAGTTTTTTTATTTCTTTTCCCTTTTTAATTATTATTTTTTAAAAATTTAGTTTATTAATATTAAATTTTTTTCTATTTAGTTATCAAATTTTCACAACACGAATTCCAGATTTGAAGGATTAACCTAGTTTGGCAGGTTAACCCAGTTAATTCATTTTTTTTTTACCTTTTCTTTATTAGTTTTTTTTCTTCTTGTAGGTTTTTTTAATTAATCTTTTTTTGTTTAATTTAGTTTATTATTGTTGATTTTTTTCTATTTAGTTATCACACTTTTATAATATGAATCCCAAGTTTGATAGGTTAACCTTGTTTGGTGGGTTAACCCAGTTGATTCATATTGTTTTTATTTTTTTATTAGTTTTTTTCTTCCAATTTTATCTTTAAATATTGTAATTAACTATAACTAAAAGGCATCAACCTTTTTTCTTTCAATTTCATGACATGAATACCCATGTTTGATAGGTTAAACTAGTTGATTTAATTTTTTTTCTTTTTCTTAAGTTGTTTTTTCCTTTTAATTACATCTTTTAATATCAATTTAATTAATAATTAAACTTTATGATTTGTTTTGTTTACTATTCATTAGATTATTGTGATCTTATGAGGTGATTTTACTGTACCCCTCATTGCAAAGCACTATTCATCGGAATAATGCGTTACTTTCGGAATAATGCTTTACTTTATTGTTTTTTTAATTAATTTTTAAAAATTTTATTCTATAATATTAATTTTATTCTTTTTTAATTATCACATTTTTATAGCATAATGTTATAGTCAGACTTATATCCAAGGCATCGGGTTTGATATTGCAACCAAACTCACTTAAACTTGGATTAGAAAAGTTTAATATTATTATTAATATTATAAATATAACTTTTGAGTAAGGAATAGCAGACAAACCCAATGCTTTTAAGTATCACTTTGTAGAAAAACCAGGAATAGCAGACAAACCCAATGCTTTTAACTTTGTAGAAAAACGTAACACTCTTAAATTTTAACTTTTTTTGATATTTTAATGCAAAACAAAATGAACTGCAACATAGTGCGAGTCACGTTTTTAGTATCTTTTAAAACTTGTTGTCAAAACAACTATTTTATTATAAAAAACTAATGGTGCATAGGTTTTTTTTTTACTTTAGATCATGAGGAGAATCATGCTTTGTTTTTTTAAATTGTGTTTCTTTTTTTTTTATCCTAGAAATTTTTACACTTTGGTCCTTTAAATTTTTACACTTTGGTCCTTTAGTTTCTTTATCGTCTTATTTGGTCTTTTAAAATTGATTTAATCTCTGATTATTTTTGGTGATTTATTTTTCATGTATGCTTATAGATATCTCGAGGTGTCGAGGAAACATTTCGTCGCATAATTAATTCTTAATTTGAAAAGGAAACTTAATTTTATTGATTTAAAATAATAAGAGATTCAATTATCAAATTTTAAGCTTAAAGAAATATTATATTTCTTTTCTTTTTTTTGTCAACATCAAGGACTAATTTAATCTTTATTTTTTTAATTGTTATTTTATTTTATTTTTTTATTAATCTCATCCCTTGGTGTTTAATTTCATTTAATTTTTACATCAAATTTGATCTTTGTTTTTTTTTTGGATCAAATGTAAGAATATAATAAATCAAAATAAAATAGGCCATGAAGTTGGCAAGTCAAATATACACATACAAAATGAGAAGCAAAAAGGAACATGCTCCCATTAATAAAAACAATACATGGAGATAGCTACCTAGAGAGAAAACCAAAAACATCACATCAGTTAGCTAAGGAACCCAAGATCCAGCAGGTGCCAAAGATAACCAACTGAAAAGAATAAAAAAATAACATATCTATATATATATATATATATATATAATAGTTAATGCAATTTGTAGCTGAAACATAAAAGAACCACCAACAGCTACTGAAACACACGAGGGTTATTAACAAGAGGCTTGCAACCCCAACAGCAAAGCAAAATAAACTCAGCCAACATCCAATTAGGAGTGGTCCGCGGCATGGAAATGAAATATTGTGTAAAATAACATTTGAAATCTCCTAAAGATTCTATTAACCCCTAAGCACTTTTCTTTAAATATTCAGTTGTTTCATTCTTTCCATATAAGGTAGACACCAATGCCCAAGAAAACTCTTCGCATTTGAGCTTCAAGATTATTTTTCCTAAACCTCAGACAACACAAAACACTATACAAAGTTGTCATGCTCCTGCCAATTCATAGCTAGGACTTAATTTCATTTTTTTTATCCTTTTGTTAATTGATTTTTTTTATAACACCCCTTGACGTTTGGTTTCAATTTTTTTTATGTTAAATTTTAGTCTTATTTGTTTTGTTTTATATCCTTGTTTGGTTGAATTCTTTTCTTCAATCTTATTTATCAACATTTGGTTGACTTGCAACTTGACTTTGTGATTTTTCTAGGTTTGCTTTTTATGATATTAATCTTAGGCTTATGATCTAAGTTACGAGTTTTATAAAGTAACTCAAGTTGACTTATTTTTTTTAGTCTTTTTTAAACAGTAACTCAAGTTGACTTATTTTTTTTAGTTTTTTTTAAACTAATTATTTTTTTTAATTTTATCATTCAACATTGAGTTAATAGGAGATTGAGTTTTATGATTTTTTTTTAATTTTTTTATATGAGGGTTATCTCGATCTCATAGCTTAGGTCACTGCCTTGGCGGATTAACCCAAGTTGACTCGGGTTTTTTTTTGTTTTTTTATAAATTTAATTTTTTTTGTTTCACTCTTTAACATTGAGTTGTTTAAGAATTGAGCTATGTAGTTTTATTTAATTTACTTTCTACGAGGTTATCTTAATCTCATAACCAAGTTAAGGATTTAGCAAGCTAACTCGGGTTGAGTTTTTTTTTCATGGTTTTTTAATTTTTTTTAATTTCTTCCTTAAACATTTAATTTGATAAGAATTAATCTTCAACCATTTTTCATTTTTTTTATGGGGCTGTAACTTTCTTATTTAATTTCTATTTTATTGTCAAATAAGATTATTGAAACATTCTAAGAATATTGAGAACATGTATTTCCGTAATATTGACAAGCATTTATTTTTTAAGTTGATTATTATTAATTTTTCAGTTTAGTTTAATTTATTTACTGTCATTAATTTTTTTTATTTTTTAAAAAATTACTAGCATCACTTGAATTTTTATTTTACATTAAAAAATATCTACTTGATGTATTACAAGCTTAAGATATAGTAAAATCTACTAGGTGCCGAATGTTTATCACATACAAATTATTTATTAATATTAAATATTAACAGAGAAAAGATAGATATAAAGACTCGTATTTCATAAATAAATAATGATTATTACGAGAAACATTTTTTATTCAATAATAAACACAAGATTAAATCTTTTATCAAGAACTCATTCCACGTGTAGTAAGCAGGGAGAAAGTCGGTGACTGTTCTATTTGTATGTATTTTATAGGGCATTATTCGCTTTTTAACATGTTGACTCGAAGAGAAATAGTACACGGCTCGCTCGCTCGCTCCAAAACAAAGGAAGCGCGTGTCCGGTGTTTCTGCAAACTTCCAAGCGAGTAGTGCGTAAGAGGTCCTGTTATGGGCGGTTATCGAATGGAAGTTGGAAAGCACCAAGTCATCTTCTCTCAATGGCAGCTGTTAATATTCTTTCCTTATTCCCCCTCTAGCCTTTTACTAGTTTTATTCTTCTAGTCCACCAAAATTGAGAAAGCAGAGAGAGAGAGAGAGAGAGAGAGAGAGAGAGAGAGAGAGAGAGAGAGAGAGAGAGAGAGAGAGAGAGAGAGAGAGAGAGGGAGGGGGAGGGGGGAGAGGGAGAGGGAGAGGGAGAGGGAGAGGGAGAGGGATTCTTCTTACATCAACATGTGCCCGCACCACACACGCAAATCTCAAAAAAACCCAATAACTCTGACAGTCTTCTCTTCTTGGTAAGTCAGTCTCAGTCAACCGTTTCTTCTTTCTTTCTCACTTGTCATTAATTCTTTCTTGTTAGGTCTATTCTTTCAGTTTCTTGGTTTTAATTGTTTTTTTTCTCTTTTTTTGGCTTTGAGCCTTAACTCATCCTTTATTGCTATTTGACCTCTGAGTTTCCTTCTTCTTCTAAGTTGTTTTTTTATTATCTTTCCACTGTAAAACCTCTGGACTGCGATTCTTCGGACTTTGCATGGTATACTTGATATGGGTTGTTTGCTGGCTGACGAATTTGGTCGGAAAAACTGCAAGTGCTAAGTTAGGTTGGAGGGGACAGTTACAGTTTTCAGCATATCAATCCGGCCAAAACGTTCTTTTTTCTACAGGTTTCCTACGGTAATCCCTGTCGTGGGAAACTCAAGCCACTTCTTTTGAATCATCAACAGTAAACAATACATATCTGGGTTGCTTGAAGAACATGGATTATTTATGATTTTCAATTTATTCAGAAATTTACGGATGCCTGTACTTGTGCATATGAGCATATCCCTGATTCTTGAATTTAAAGTTCGGTTTCGGAAAATGAATACTGATATTCCTCTTTATTACATGCGTCTCTGCTTGTATACATGCAACTACATGTCTCAATTAAGTTGAGCCTCCATCTTTTCCTCAATTCTCAGTTCACCTCCTTTGAATGAATTTATCGGATCCAATTCCCATAGTACAGGGTTGACATAAGAATTATCCAATGTAACAGTCATAAAAACCCTGTTATTTGATTGCTTGATAAAAATATTATTGCTGGAGTGTTGTTTAGTTTTCTAGTGGGTTATGAGAGTGGTATTTATCCATTATAGTTTCTTCTAGTACACAAAGTGAATGATGTTAAGCTGATCTCTTGATGCAGTTCAAGCCCAGACCTTGACATAACTCTCTGTTGCTGAACGATCGTTGGAGGATAAAAGCTGAAGTGAAAGCTTTCGACTTTTCAACCGACCAGTAAATTGTGTGATCCGGTGTTAATCGAATCATGCAGCTATATCACCATCCATACTCCCTGGATAGCCAGAAGGTCAGACTAGCTTTGGAAGAGAAGGGCATTGATTACACATCAAACCATGTCAATCCTATAACGGGCAAGAATATGGACGCCTCATTCTTCGGGATAAATCAAAGCGCAAAACTCCCAGTTTTCCAGAACGGTTCTCACATCATTTTCGACACTATTGAAATAATCCAGTATGTCTCATCCTTCGCATTTCCTTTTCTAACACTGTTCTATCGAGTGTATGCGTTGTGTTGGGAAGCTATTTCAAATTTGACACAATCCATGGAGGTCTTTTTTCCCTTAGTTATTTCTCATCCTAACGAATATGCTCAGAAGTATTTAAGAAATCAACTTTGAGTTGACTCACGTATTATGATATATCAATAGGATTTCAACATTTTCAGTGTATCGAAAGGCCACTAGTTTTTTATTTCTTTCTTTTTAGAAGTTCTTTCAAATACACCATATTTTCAGAGAGTTTCTACTCTGTAGGTATATCGAAAGAATTGCCGTCTCTTTGGGTGGTGGTGACTCATCCTTTAGCAGCAGAGAAGTTGTTGAATGGATGTGCAAGATACAGGAGTGGAACCCCAAGTACTTCACACTTTCCCACGTCCCTGAGAAGTACCGCATCTCTGTTTCCAAATTCATTAGACAAGTGATCATAGCTCGGATGGCTGAATCTCCTGAATTAGCCAGTTCTTACCACTGTAAGCTAAAAGATGCATATGAAACGGAGGACAGGCTGGGAAACCCTGAAGTTTTGAAACGGAGCGAAGAGCATCTTGTTAGACTTCTTGATGAAGTTGAGACCAAGCTAAAAGAAACAGCATTTTTAGCAGGGGAGGAATTCTCAATGGCAGATGTAATGCTGATCCCAGTGCTGGCTCGCATAGTCCTCTTGAACCTGGAAGATGAGTACATAAGTAGCAGGCCAAATATTGCTGAGTACTGGGTTTTGATGCAGCAAAGGCCTAGTTATAAAAAGGTGATTGGAAAGTATTTCAATGGCTGGAGAAGATACAAAACACTAGTGAAAACCTGGTGCTTTGTTCGTTTCAGAAGTTTGTTGAGGAGGTATTAGTAAGAAAAACAGATGGGAAGTGACATAATGGAAGCAGTAAATATCAAGGTAATCTCTGTGAATTAGGAAGAGATTTTTGTATTAGCAAAAATGAAATAGAAGATGTGGTTTGTTTTCTTTCATAGAAATGGGAATTTGTTTTGATCCGAAAGGTATGGATATCTGAGCCAGTTTAGATGCACTAAGATTAATCCCCCGACTGAAATGGGAATTTGTTTTGATCCGAAAGGTTGAAAGGACAATTAAGGGTGTTGAGAGAAACTGTATTAATATGGCTTAATCCCACGGCCCTTAAAGTTAAACTGTATTATAATTGTTGACAGTGTCTGTGTTTTTTTACTCTCATGTGGCGTGCAAGAAAACAAAGGTCTAAAAGCGTGTGGGGGCAGGCACTTCGAAATCATGCTATGTTATGGTCATTAAATTGATCTCCTGTTACCCAAAAAAACACACACCCCCCCAAACTACAAGCAACTCAATGGACCGAGAAAAGCTGACGAGACATGAGTTTTGGCTCCTATAATGTCTCACTGACCAAATTAAATCGGATTTTTTTTCAACGTCCATTACCTCGAAAAATGTAAATGTATGGATTATTTTTTGGAAGATAATCTTTACAGGAGCAAAAGGATGGCAATCAGCAGTTCAGCGGAGACCAAGAATGACCTTATGTCCTACTGGCTATCAGCATGCGAAGAAAACAAGGTGATTTTACTCCTGCATGTAGTCGGTGGAACGGGATCCAATTCAGCAGCTAGTGTAGTAAAATGTTAAGGATCTCCGTCATGGCAACTATACAATTTTCAAATAATTGTTCTTTTTGGCCGCCTGTCCGACAAATCCCAAACATACATCCAACAAAAGGAAATTCATAGTTGATAAAATCTAATTAGCGATCCAACAAAATCCATGATAAAGATCCAACATCATGATGGCAGTAATACAATAACTGTTGATCATACCCGACGAAACCTAAACAATTGGTGAGAATGAAAATCTTAAAGAATAAATCACGACATACCATAAATGTTAACCACAAGTATACGAACACCAAACGACGTAAGCAGGTCTTTCCATAAAAAATCAAGCATTTGTGCCCGACTGTATCACTAGACAACATATTATCTTTTACGAGACATAAATCTTACAGTCCTATTAATGCTTTCTTTTTCTGCTGCTAATAAATAACTGCAATCTATGAGACAAAATAAAACAACAGATTTTATTTGTTAATGATTACGAGCTCCGTGTTCTTGCATAAGACGAAGAGGTAGCAAGGATAGTCAGCATGAATTAACAGAGAAGTTGGTTTCACACCACTAATCTTTTGCTATGAAAGTATGTGTTGTGGATGTGCACTCAGATTCTCCAAAATCAACGTGGACATGCATAGAAGTTCTTCCAATATCACAAAAATCAAGGCAAGAGCATTTAGAATTTGTTATTTTTTGTAATAACGAGGCATTCAATTGATTGTAACTGCAAGCCATTGACTTGATTAAATCAACGAATTACTGTAGCCACTACAGACAGTTCAACTGGAGACCCAAACTCCAAAATCCATGAAACTAATCGATGGAGAAATTGCACCAGCCAAGTACAAAAACTAATTTAAAATAATCGAGAAACCATCGAAGAAACACAATCATCTTTCACCTTCCAGATCATCAAAGAATTTTATTTTTTTTCCAGTGCAAGATGCCAATAAATTGGTTATCAATTCCAATGATAAACAATATTACTCCTATGAGAAAATTTTAGATAAACAAGACTACCTACCTCTTCGAGGTGTGAGAAAATGGATCAACATCCAACAGAAGACATTGCCGGATAAGAAGAATGCTTTCCCTCCAGCTATAGCATCACAACTTTGAGTATGAGGATTGACATTCTGATATGAATGAATTTCCCATTGAAAATAAAAACCCAAAAAAAGAATTGTGAATACATCAAGAGTATGGTGAATAATCAGTAGCTCTTCAGAGCATTTCCTAAAAAATCAATGCTCATTTAGACGCTGTGCATGCTGATCAAGTATTTGCCAGCTTTCTGCAGTCTACAGCTTACAACCTGTCAACAGTATGAGTTCCTCTGTTCATTTGTTAGACTTCCCATGTCAGTGCTGCACATTCCAGCTCATGAGTTGTCTCCTACACATCCCCACCCATTCCTATTCCGAACCCATGGAGGAGACACTTTATTCCACTTCTGTTGCTTAAAGTACCTCCTTCCCAAATCATATGAAAATCCCCTCGCACGTTTAAATGTTTGATGGTCATTTGGACAAGGGCTATTCACATCTGGTTGGTTAGCACCACTCATGCTTGGACTATTTTCATTTGGACAAGTGGTAGGATCATGGCTGTCCTGTTGCCCTCGAACTGCATCACCATCAACCTCAATAGAGCTAACAGCACAAGAAGGTTGAGTCCCTTTCATATAGGAGGGAAGTGGTGGTAATGGTGGAAAAGGATGGAAAGGCATGCCAGGAGCAATAACCCAACTCTCTACAGTTTCAGCCAGGGGTGATCCTAATTGCTGCATAACAGACAAGGGAATTCCATACGAGACAGGAAAGCGGGAATTGAATTTCTTCTGTGGAAGACCGACAACCATACCAACAGGAAACTTCAAGTGGAAAACATTTTGTTGAGGGTGGTCAGCAACAGTGGACGAAGCATTGGATGGAAGAGCAGCATTAATCGGAGATGAGAATCCAGGTGGAACATCCTCATGAATATTCTGCTTTCTGTCATCAGCACTACTAGATTCATCTTGCCAGCAATAATTGCGAACACAATGAGGGCAATAACTGTACTCTCTACCTGCCTTGTCCACATGAACTGGCACTTCTTTACTTAACTCAAGTAATGGGTTAGGTTCACATTGTTGTACCAACCCAGAATTAACATTCTGTTTAATATGCTGAAGAGAGCTGGAAGCTATATTTCCCACAGCGGGTTGATCCCATCTAGTTTTACGCTTGCGAGTTCTCGTAACACTGCCTACACGATTCACAGAGTTGTCCTCATGGACAGCAGTGCCCCCTGAAGTCATAGCAACCTCATGGACAGCAGTGCCCCCTGAAGTCACAGGGTTTGATTCCACAACACCATTAAGTGCTTCTGTGTGTCTTACACCCTGATCATGCCAATGATTATGAGAAGCTGAAACCCTATTGCAGTTTGGAACTCTGTGAATCTCCATCCTCCCATCGTCCCTATCCATATAGCTATGCTTTCTGATATGTCTAGGGATCCATCTGTCTCGAAAACTTCGTGCAATTTGATGAACCTATGCGCACATGCACCACTATCATTAAAGCTCAAATTCCACACTCAAGGACAGCAATTAGTCATTACTCGTTGCTTTATCTCTAATACAGACTCACAATAAAATTTGCAAGCAACATTCAAAATCATTAAGTCAGAAAAAGGCCTTCTGTCCAAAGTCAGTCCTTTCTATTTTGGTTTTTGATCCAGCAGTATTTGTCCACTGTCAAAATTTAATGCACACAAGAGTTTTTTTTTTCTTTTTAATTAAGCCTTATCATATAGTTGGAAACTTTTTTTTACTCAGCACGTTAAAATACAAGGTCAGCATTGGCATTTCCAATACTTGTAAAAGAAACCAAAGCTCAATTATCATCGAGTTGAAGAAAACTTTCAAGAGAGCTAGGAGATGGTCTTAAACCATGTATCCTTGTGGGGCTGAAAGCAATCACCCCAATCTGAAGTGTAAATTTTGGTACAGAAGAGGCATATAATAAGTATTAAATGTGAATTTAGAACCAGGTTATGAAGGAAAGAGTCAGAGACGATACCTGTTTGTCATCATGCTCTGTCAGGGACAACATGGATTCTGTAAAGCTGCATAAATAAAACTTATCAGGGAACACATGCCAGTAAAATATATATGACAAGAAAAACCAGCATTTTCATATTGCACGCAATGAGTCAACAGCTGCAAGAATTTGGCTGTCTTGAGAGATAAAACAGGAAACCAAAAGGTTAACTGTAGCATTGGCAAGTTGGCAACATCCTTTAGGCTATGTCTAGGGGTAAAATGGGGGAAGAAAGAAAATGGAGGAAATGAACATAGAAGAGGAGAAAATAATCGGAAAGGAATGTGTTTTCTATCATTTGTTAGAGAGTAGTAAAAATGAATGGAATCAAAGGAAAGGAATTTTTTCCTTCGTTTGGTACACAAAAGCAAAGGAAAATATTATTTGTGTTGCAATTATAATTATGTCCTTTGAATTTAATACCACAATAAATTTCAGTTATAAGTAAAACATAAGTTTTAACTAAAATCAACCCCCCAGCACAAAAAAAAAAATGAGGAAAGGAAAGGAAAGGAAAGAGAGAAACCCACGTTCCACATGATTTCTCCCCCTCTACTCCCCTTTCCTCTCCCAAACAAGTAAAAGTACTTTCCACCTATTGTCCACACTCCCAAACATAAACCTTAAAAACAAGGCCTATGAATTACTCACTCTAATCAAACTCACCTTCATCTGATCAGATGCAATTATAGAGATAATGAACACGAGAGGTTTCGAGTCCTAGGATAGAAGCACTGGTCTTTTGTCAAAAGGTAGTCACCAACTTATCTTTTCTTATCAGTATCAAATTCCCTATTCCTACAGCAGCTAGCAAACATAAAAATAAAAATGAAGGCACCTTGTGAAAAACAGAGAATTTCAATTCAATTCTTTGCACATTTATTCCATGATGAACCTTACGAAGTTTCAATTGAATAATGGGCATCTTTCCTGGGTAATGCAAGCTTCATTCATCCCAAGGTTGCTTCTCTTTTTTAGTCATTTTATAGACTTGCTTGTTCGGGAAAAGAACCACAGAATAAGCTTGTCTTTCTATCTTATTATTTGCTTCCAGATGGTGGTCAATTCCCTTGGTGAATCAAAAGAGTCACTATTTTCTCATTACTCTACATCAAACAATATTATTCCTCTGTTGATTGTCAATTCACAAAATCAGCAGTCCATCCTAAGAAAATCCTATCAACCTTTCACTTCCACATACAATTAGTTACAGACCACCAAAATTGAATAAGCAGTCCATCCTAAGAAAATCCTATCAACCTTTTCACTTCCATATATAATTAGTTACAGAGCACCAAAATGGAATCAGCAGCCCCTCATGATGATTTCCTAGAGCTAAAATGTATTAGAGAAGAAATATGACCACACACAAATGATCCCAAAGTAAACTAAATATATCACCAGTTATCCAGCATGCATTTCCTTGTTTGAAGAAACAAAAGGTACGACCCCTATTTCATCAGCAAAGTAGGACAATACATATACTAAATAAAAACTAGATGAATAATCTAACCTCTCCATTCCAGGACAAGGAGGACCTCCACTTATATGTTCCAATGTAAGTATCTCCCTGACTGCCAAGTGCTCTAAAACCTGCAGAAAAGTCAGTTAATAGCACGCTTCAGTCTCAAAATTCTAGAAAACTTTGCTTGTCATGTTCTAAAAGATAGTCTAAATGAAATAAATCAAGTTGCAAGAATATTTCTGAATATGAGCAGATGAGAAATTATGGAAAGAGATTAGAGCTTAAAAAATGATTTTATCCACAAAACTCAAAAGGAATACCATTAACTTGTACTATGATAGTTTATAGTTTCTCCTTCAATAGCCACCACGCTTAATAAAGCATCTATTTTTAACAATTTTGCAATTTTGAACCATGAAGGACTAAGAGTATCTATCTGGAAAAAAAATGTATAACATTATTATGAGTCTGTTTCTGTAGATAAATCAACTGAGTACTAGGATATGAAATTTGACACAGGTTGGGATGTGGTATGTCTATATAACAGAGCTGCCAACAAGTGCACCTTTAAAAGCTTCCTGAGAATTGGAATCTTTTTAAAATCCCTTCTGTACTGCTTCATTATGTTGTGAAGCATTCTTAAACCTGAAAGAAACCAGCCACTGGTTATTCTTTAAGCAAATAAAGGTGCAACATCAACAAATTTACTAATTCCTAAGCAAGATTGGTTTGTATGCCATGCAAAAGGAAGAGGGAAATCTACCATTTTTGTTAATTATATCCATCAGTACCACTCGTGATCTAGTTTTCAAGAGTGCATCGAGTATCATTGAAAGCTCCCGATTACTGCGAAACAAAAAAGCTAAATTAGTAAATCAAGACCTCATACAATCATCTAGCATGAGTCCTTTTCAGGATTCATCTCACATATGAAAAGGAATATTATGTACCTAAAGCACAGGGTGGTGGTGATCTTGATGTACGATAGATATCAGAAATAATAGATAAAAACAATGCAAATTACCTCTGAATTGCTTCACCACTTCTAATAGCACCAGAAGCTGCAGTAAGGAGGAGAAGTTTCAGGTAGCCTTTAGGAGCATCCTGTCAAAAAAATATAAAATAATTTACATGGACAATTGAGCAGAAATGTATAAAACAGATAGAGTTTTCAATAATTTTAGAAACAACTCCAAATCATTTCAAGTAATTTTGGTAAATAAAGAAATGAAATATCTGGATACTGAAGAATCTTTATTACAGGAAATCAAAAGTAGACATGCACAGCCACACAAAAGTATGGCAGATGCAAGAACTAAGAGTTAAAAATCTAAAAAGAATAAAACAGGAAAGAGTTAGAGGCCCAGGGCTGGGGGGTGGGATAAAGCTCACAAGGCAAACATCAGCTACCTCCAAAGGCTACACTGTGTTTTAGGCTATTAACCAACATTAAGAAACCGCCAAAAACTTGAAAAACACATTCAAGGAGTTACTTACTTTCCGTTTGCTTATGCCACCCTCGGAATCCAACAACTCATTAAGTTTCTCCTGAACTGAAAACATTACAAGGCATTAATCACTGAAGCATTGCAGACGATACCATCTTGACAAAAAGATCAGTATGAGGATCCTAACCTGCTTCAAAATGGCCATTCGAGGTACTCTCTATTAACTTTTTGGGTTTGATAAGTGGAAACTGAGGTTTGCTGGCTATTGTCTGAACCTTGTTTATGTTTATGAGATTACCAGCAGACTTTCCCTTCTTGATTGAACTAGATTGGTGTGGAGTTTCAATAATAAAACGAGATTTCACAAAAACCCTCTTGTTTTCAGCTGCGGCAGACTTAGACTTCCTGTTAATCATAACATCATCAGGCAATATTTTGGTGGGAGTTGAAGTTGAAGAGGTCCTCAACTTTTGACTGGAATACAAGGATTTGTTCATAGTCTCTTCCACGGAAATCTCTTGCTGAACAGCAAGTGTGGGTTGGGTCATTACATCTTCAGCCTTTGGGGAGGTTTCTACTTGTTGACTGGAAGAAGAAAAATCTCCAGGTAAACCATTCATTTCTGATGCACTGGGTGATAGAGACATGGCAGGGGTTAATTGGCTTGTCAAATCCTTAATTTCAGTTGCAACCTCCAAGTTCCCAACAGCTGTTTTGAATTCTATTTCCCTGTCTTTTGACAAACCAAAGAAATTGGTTTTGGATATTTTATTTTTTAAGCCACCTCCCACTCTTCCATCTTCAAGCATTACAGGTTCAGGAAATTCTTCATCCGAATCAACTTGATCAGTTACTTCAGAGCTAGTTGGATCCCCACCAATATAGCCTTGACATTGAGGTGAACCACAATAGCATCTTTTAGCAGCAGCCCCAACAACTCTTACATAGTTATAGTCAAATGTCACCTCTTCGCCCTGCCAAAAACCTATGGTTATGAAAATATAAGATAATCATGCATGTATGTGAAAATGAAAAGGCAGGTGTGTGTGGCTGCGACAAGTGATGCCTTTTATGGTATACATGTAGTAAGGCACTGCAACCTCTGATGCTTTCTCAGAAACTTCTGCCAAGCATCACTGAATTTCTTTTTTTCATCTGTTGTTTAATTAAGAGCCAAGGATAGTTACTAAGCTAAACTATCGTATTGTTGAAGGCTAGTTGTGCTGGGCAATCTTCAATCAATTCATTTGCAAGCAAGTGATTTAGCAGAAACAAACTAGGAACGTTGCTTAATCTTCGAAAGGAAACAAAAGAAGAGGAGGTGTTTAAATATACAAATTCCACCCTTAAAGGAAGAAGCTTGCTTCATAATGATTAAAGGAGCCAATGTAACATCTTTCTATTAGCCAAACACAAAGGTAACAACATGATCAATCAAGTTGGTAATGCCACAATTTATGAATTCCCCACAAATCTACAGTGTAAAATAAATACATAAATTCCCACAATGACCAATCAATTTTGTGGCAATCCAGACAATCATGGAATATAATATTCATATAGATTATCTGCTCAACCATTTCCATCCCCTGGAATGTTTAGCAGAGATGAGCAAGTGGTTGCCAGCTGAAGTAAACCTAAACACTAACAAAATAAAACAATAGGAAAGGCAAAGTGAAGATAAAAGCACATGTGCAAACTTCCAATTTTCAGAAAAATCCCTTGATCATCAACAGTTGCATTCCATGATACAATGTGCTTCTATGGTAAGCAGAAAGTAGCCGGAGAATGAAAAAAGAAAAAACTATGACAACTGTGGCTCAGATGGAAAAGCACAAGATTAATTAATTTAAGGTGTGAGCATACCTTCTTAATGTCCCTCAATGCAAATAATCCAATACAGATTTCTCCATTGACCACCCACTGTAAACAAAAATTTACAAAGTTAAGCAAATAAATTAATTGAGAAATGTTATAATGGATTTGAAAGTTTGGAATTTAAAGGTCACGCAGTTGGCACCATACATAATAACATTAAAAGGATACTTGTGCAAGGATAGAAGGTCATTGAGTAAGCCAAAACACTACTCCATAAATCATACAAGGCGATCGAATAAGAACATTTACATGTAACTCCAAAGTGCAACGAGTACTTGAAGGAAATTAACCAACAGAAACATGTGGCGGGTCAAAGTTTTGACACAAATTTTTATCTGTTGGTACATAGTTATCAGCCCTATGTGTGATAAAGATTATGTACACAGATGGACCCAAACAGAAGTGGGATATACTTGAACAAAAAAGAAATGGACCAAAACCATTGAGATCCAAAAAGAAATGGACCAAAACCATTGAGATCCAAACAAACATGGCATGTTGTCCAAAGAATATTTTAAAGATATCTATTCAAGGTTTCTAAACACTATAATCTCTTACATTTAAAAGTAAATAATATAATTTAGTTCCAGTGTCCCATAAAAATAGACCCTTAGATAAATAATAATAATAATAATAATAATAATAAAGCCACTTTGTTGATGAAGAATGTGACAAAATTAATTTGACTTAAACCTTGCCAGTTGCTCCAATCACAGATAATATTCAAAGTAAATTCTTTCTTGGTTCTTTTTAGTGGAGAACATATATCACGTTTAACATGTAACCAATCAGAAAAAAGGATAAATTAGAGAAAGGAGCGAAATTCAAAATTTGATTTCTACATATATTAACATATATTGTGGGAAATCCTGAAATCCAAATGGATGATGCAAGGGGACAGTGAATCTACAAAATGTCCATTGCACAAAGCCTAATTCTCAGAAGTCCAGGCACAAAAGAAGCATGGGCATGGATCCAAAACATGGCGACTAGACCTCTTAGTGGTTTCCTATCAGCCTTCTGAAACCAAATTATACTATAAAACTAATTAATAACTTGTGAAAAGAGGGTCCAAACTGAGGTCTCCTATATGAAAAGCGATGCTAATTCTACACACAAGATAATTAGGGGGTGGCTAGTAGGAACTCTGGGATCTAAAAATTAGCGGGTGTTTGGCACTACGTTTGAAAAGCACTTTCAAAAAAATTTGAATTTTTTTTCGCTTTAAATTAATATGTTTTTGATGTTTTCAAACTATTTTGATGCGCTGATCTCAAAAATAATTTTTAAAAAATAAAAAAACATTATTGACATATTTTTCTGAGTGAAAAGCACTTTGAAAAGTAACTACAACCACTCCCAGACACACTCACGTCTTCCTGTTTGTCCAAAGTGAATAATTGCATTAAACATTTGTATAAATTAGTCCCACATAGATCAAATTGAAGGCAATGGATATTGCAGTTGGTATGCTGTCATTGCCTCACAGAATATGTCTCTGGAAGATGGTGCTTTGCATCCCAAATGTGGGAAAGTGCATTACCTTACACCAGACAAATTGTCTGACATTTGTTCAAAACTGACAGAAGTAGGTATTTGTGACATTGATTTTTCCAATTTAGTAGTTATCCTGTTTGGCATGATTCAAGTGCCTCGTAAGCAAAGGTTTTTTGAGCTGCTGCCATGCATCCCCATGACTGAAGTCAACTCATTAATCATTTTTTAATTCTTAAAATTTTTCAAATACTAAAAATTAGTTAAGCTCTTCATCATTGTGGCTCACAGGTTTATGGATTGACATCAATGGGGGTTCTTGGCCTGTGCCAACCCAGCTACAAGTAAACGATGAAAAGATCCAGAGAAAGAGGTGCAATAGAGAGAAGTGAAAAAAAAAAAAAAACAGAACTTCAGCAGTAGACTTGGGAATATGGTCCTGAAGAAACAGTGCATGAGAAATTGAAGAAATAAAAATCTCCATCAATGACTCAAAGCTCAAGAATGCAAAGTGCATCATCCAACCATAACAATGTGCAACAAAGTGTAAAATATGAATCTCATTAAATAAATGAAACAAATGAAGAGAGGCATATATCAAAATTAATCACCTTTTCAGTACGACAATTAGGATCACAACTATGATTAATGAAACGCCCCAAATTTCCCTTCGCACATGCGTCAATTACCTGAAAGGAAGGAAAATGTGGATTATAAAACAGCATGAAACAATTGTGGCGAGATAATTAGATATATATATATATAAAAAAAAAAAAAACAGCAGAGATCAAACAAAACTTTAAATCCATTCAACATAGAGAGATGAGACAAAAAATAAAACAAGTCATTGCAAGAAAATTATATGGTACATCTGGTTAAAGGTGCATCATTAGTACTAAGCAGAAGTTAGAAGTTAAAATTTGAAATCATAAAATGATTGCTATTTTAGTGAACTTTCAAGTGATGATGTCATCAATCAAAGGACACCCAACACATTTATAAATAATCTCTACAAATCTAACAATTAGAGGGCCCAGGTGCATTAGATACCTCTTGGCAATTTTAACCAAACATATAAACAGAAAAGTTGATAAGGCAGTAGATACTAAGTAGTGTAAATAATGCCAAAAGTTCTGTCTGGTAACAAGTCAGATTTAAAGACCTGGAAACTACCACCAGTACTTTCATCACAGCATTTAGAAGCTGCCTCAGAATCAGATGCATATGCCGTGGATCATTGGCTTTCAATTCCAGTGTTTTAGTGTTGATTAAAGCAAATTAACTTGTAAATAATGAAAGAAATATTATTAAAGAAGAAGAAGAGCTTCAGCAAACCTCACTGCCATCCAATGTCATGAAGTAGAAATGTTTGTGACCCTTGGAAGCATATTCTTTTTGCCTTGCTTCATAAGCATGCACATCAAGCACCTGAATGAACCTATATTAGAAATTTGGAGGAAATAAAATAGAAAGAAATTTGCATGCGCATTTTGAACTATATCTTTCTTTTTGTATAGAAAGAAATTTGCATGCGCATTTTGAACATTTTGAACTATATCTTTCTTTTTGTAGAATAGCCATGTATGCATGTGGATAGTGCGAGAGAGATCAAACTATCACAAAAAGGCATATTAACTTTAATTATTGAGCACTAGTTGGATAAAGTTAACTCCAAATGTGAATTGAATTAAGCTGATCTCAGAATTGGCCAGGAAAATATACATCCATAGAAAGTTTTGAAGTGATCTAGTACCACTCACCTAATATGATCATGCATCAAACATATTATATGCAAGTAAACAAGCATCAGAGAAAACCCGGTACACCTATGACTTCCAACATTGGCTCAAAGCCCAACTCATGACAAAGTTCATATCTGATCAGCAGCCTCCAAAAAATTAAAAGAAGTTACCTCTCCAACGTATTCAATAAGGAATTGCCCTCTGGATATATCCTCATCCAATCGCAGTCCAAAACCTTTCTTCCCACATCGCTCCCATGTCATTTTGGCATAATTGCGCTTTTGGAACTGCAAAATGATACTTAGACTAATTTTTTTAGAAAAACAAATGCTATTATGAAAAGTGAAATAATGATTACTATCTGCGAAAGGTAAGCTATGTAACCTGTTGATTTGAGCAATGGTCCCCACATGGACAGGTTCCTTGAACACACTCAATATTAAGCATTCGATTCAAGCATTCATCTCCACAACCTAACTGACCGGCCACAGGTGCTTTGCAGTAACAAACCATGATCTGTTTAAAAAGTATGGAAAATTTTGTCAAAACATAAAATTTAGAGAGGCCACGGCCTAAACAAACTTTCCAAAAAAGTTGCTCTTTTTACCAACCTAATGAGTGTTAAAAAAGAAATATCTCGATTTACACACTAGATTTTTAAAGATCAGAAATGGTGGAATGAGGGGGTTGACAATTTGAGCAGAATACATGTTAAAGATTTTAAAAAAATTCTGTGCCCACTGGGTATATTAGAATGTAAGAGTCAAGGATTGATACCTACAATACCTGGGTGTGTCCATGCTACTAAATAAATACAGGAAGTCTCTAGTAATGAAAAACTCTTGAAGGGATTTTGGTAGAGAAAACAGGAGGTCCAAATATTTTTGGCCCTAAGTTTGCCATTTTGTTCGTGTCAAAGAGAGGGAGAGTAATTACAATGACAGACAAATCGCAAACAAGAATACAAAAAACTTTATAGCGGGGAGAGAATCATGCCAATTATTCTTCTTCAAAAAAAATTAATCTAAAACACGATGGATTGACACTTATCCTAAAACTAGTGATATCATTTACTCTTGAAGGAAACCACAGGAAGATACATGGATGCAGACAGTTCAGCACAATCTGAAAAAACACCACGAATAGCAGAGGCACTAGCAAAGTTGGAACATTATAGATAGGTACAGAACAACAACAGCATCCAAGGGCAAAACCAAAGGCACACAGATGTCAGCATCATAAGAAAATAAATTAAGTATCAAGGAAGATCGTTTCTTTGCAGCATTAGAAGTATAAAGCAGATTTCTAAAAGATAAGGATAATACAATTGTCATGTTAGTGATTGTGGATAGCCTAAGCCATGATTAAGATTAATCATCGTCAGTAACAATCATCCTCAAAGGGGTGGGGTTTTGACCTAGGATAGCACACTTCATGGATGAATGTATGATTTGATCAAATATGTTGCATGACACAAACACATTTGCACATTTTTAATTCAGATTGCAACAGCAAACTATCACCCTCTCATACTCAACACTTTTCAAAATATTTTCTAATTCATGACATTTTTCCCAGAGTAACACAATTCCTTGAGACATACACTGATCTAAATCTATATGAGAACCAACGCAACCAAGTTCATAAACATATTTTCTTGCTAATTTTACCACTTTCCATGTTACAGTACTAAACTAGCTAGGTCTAAATGTGAGCCATTATGTATGATAGCCATCAAGACATCCCAGAAACCAAGGCCATAGCCATTGAGATAGAGTTTGACTTGCCATAACTCAACATTAGGTGCACACATGCTGCTTAAGACAAAGCACATGTCCTTCCTGCCAGTTACCACTTAACAAAAAGATTCAATTCTCAAAATCTAATGTGAGCCAGATCACAGCTATGCATAAGTATTGTAACATTGATAGGCAAAAATAAAATTGAGTCAAATTCAGACCTCATCAATAGTTTGAGTTTTACGGCTACGGTGCAGAAACTGATTGGTAGTGATGCGTGTAAATTCATACTCCTTGGAAACTATAAAAGAAGTAAAATATCATGTTAGGTGAAAAGGTGAAACCCTTATGAATCAAAGCACAGGCCCTGCTTCAAGCTTTTGTTTGATCTTGCTTCTCTTCTATGCCTACCAAATGCTTCATACCTGATGTCTGTCTACATTCCAATTCCATATAATTTGAAGGGGCATCGCAACCATCCTCATCAACATCTGATATGCCCAACTCTGCATTTATTTCTGCATTTGACTTCTCTTGGGGGAAGGAGCAATCAGCAAAGGCTTTATTTGTGTTGTCCTTGCAGATCCTAAGAAACCAAAAGAAAAAAGAACAGCTGACAATGTTAGAGCATCGAAAAGGAGACAGTGAGAAAGGAGGGAACAGAAGAAGGAAACAATTAGAAAGGAGGGATCAGAAGAGGGAAGCAGTGAGGAAGGAGAGAGTTGGCAGAAATGTTTGTAATGCTGGAAGGCAGCTCCCTCTTACACTCACACCAAAACAAGATGGCTTGAGCTTTCAAATTGAGATCCTAAGAGAAACCATACATATCATTAATTTTTGCCAGCACAGTAAGTTGCATGGCCTTAAAAGAAATATGGAAGCCATTCATCCTCAAGAAGCAATGCCCAAATATCAATTTCAGTGGAACCAAAACTGAGAAAAGAAAGTTTGGAGCACACACAGACTCCTAGCCTAGTCGAGCAAGATTGAGTACAAGGTCCATGGGGTTATTGCATGGTTGATTCATGCCCAAAAAGGAGAAATAAATTGATTGAAAGAGAGGCCATCTTTCTCCATGACCAAAGCGAACTTGATCAAGCAGGTAAGAAACATATGGTTGAGATTCAAGCCAAGATATTCAATACTTGTATATCCTTGGAAATTTCAGAAGTCCTTTTTTTATCTGTCTTACCCGTACAACTAACCCTATTTGAGAGGCTAGAGAGCCCATAAGGTCAAGCTGTTTATGGTCAACTGTCCTTCAGAGGATACATGTCGGAAGCATGAAAGTTGATAAAAGTTGCATCTGAATGTCTGTATCGTGTGTCCTAGTAGTGGCAAAACATCAGTCCACTTTTTTTTATCTGGAAGAGGACTTTTGTGATTAGAGATTACTGTGTACGTCCAAAAACCATGGAAATGCTGTTGTATATACATGTTTTCTAGGTTTGGGGAGAGAGAGAAAAATGGCAAGATTTTTGAACTTGTACGGTGTTTGTATTGAAGCTCAAATGAAGAGAAATGCTAAAATAAATCAGCAAGAGTCAACAAGAGAATTATTCAATTATTCAACCAACTGTCTTTGGGATCACTAGGAAATCATGCCCTCTGCATGGTGTTCTGCTCTGGAACATAAATACCCTTAGTTCTTTTTCAAAATGATTTGATGGCTCCTGTGGATTAAGATTCTCATGCTAATTTGGAAGAGCTCTTAACCTCTTCATTGAACCTAATCTTGTGCTAATATTTTTTTTTTTTCTTAAGCAAATAAAAGGAATAGATATATAAAGGGGTATGCATGCAGCAGAAAAAGAAAAAAAAACTGCAAGATAAATAAAATGACTTGTAGGGTTAAAGATAAAGTACCATTGGCAATGTGTTTGACTAATAGATTCTACAAGTCGAACTGGAATACGCCGCCATTTAAGACAATCATCACAGCGAACCCAAGCATTATCTGGGGATAAATTTTGCTCCATTACACCACTTGATGGAGTGTCCAAATCAGCTACCTCTTCCGCAGCAGTATCCTCGCCAGCATCAATTTTTCCATTTTCATCTGCAGTATGATTACAGCGATACTTCATGTCAGAGCAGAATGCTTCTTGACCTTTGGTATAACAAAAGGGTATATTGAGTGCCATGAGGGCATGACTGCAAAAGCATAAAAAAATCAAATCATGCAACATAAACAATTCAGTACCTATTTCTGGATCATCATCAACTTTGTAAAAAACATGATCACAAACACTCTTCCCCTTGGCTTTGTTCTTTTTAACTGACTTCCTATTATTTCCTCTATCCTTGCAACCATTTGCCCTCCGGCTTTTTGCAGAGTCAGAGACTTTGGACCTTCCCTTGTTCGCTCCATTTCCCCTGGATTTAGTTGAAGGAAGAGGATTCTTTGAAATCTGTGATCCTGATGACCTAAGCTCAGCATCCAGTCCACCAACACATATTTTAGTTTCCATACTGATTTCTTCTGTCAAAACCTCTCCAGAGACTTCAAGTACAGTCTCTCTTGACAAAGGTACCTGTTCTGCAGAACATTCTTTACTGCTTGGTGTGTTGATCAAACCATTCACACTGCTGGATGAAGTAAGAATCTCAGTAGAGGAAAGACCATCAGCCTTTCTCTGCCTGCTCCCACGTTTCTTTGCCAATTTAACTTTGTTTAAGCTTGCCGCAGCAGGTGAACAGTTAGCGGCTTGAGGGAGCCTTTCTTTCTTTTTTCCCCTCCTTTTACCATTACCCCCTTGATCTGTAGCAAAAGCCTTAGAAGAAGACAGAACAGCATCATGAAAATCTTCTGGACATCTTGCATCGACTTGGCCCTCGGCAACTAAATTGATAACTTCTGAATCTGGTGAAGTTCCAGGATCTGAATACCTCTTCTCAGTTGTTGCTCCCAGTGCTTCAACCTCTGTATGGAGAGGAACCCCGATATAATCTTCCACAGTATCTCCAGGTGACTTTTCAAAAATCACCATGCTCTCCATATCTTTGTTTGCAAGATTTACATCCATGCCATAAGGATCGCAATGTAACTCTGCCTTCTTCAACTTAATATCAAAAGACTGAAGCTGTTTTCCAGCTCCCTCTTCAACCACATTATCTTCAGCATAATGGACTAACTTTGACATTTCAAAACTGGTTTCCTGATATGACTCAACCCCATAATTGCTTACAAGTTCAGCAGATGCTTTTGTATCAATTACCTCTGGGATCATAATCTTCGGATTAGCTTCAGTATGACAAGCTTCTTTTCCCACTTTAACTTTCAAACGAATGCAACTAGCTGAAGCACAGCCTTTCTTGCTAGACCTTTGTGACCTTCCACCAGCACGATTATTCCGCTTTCTGCTTCCTCGGCCAGCCCTTGCTTTTTGTGATCCATTATTCTCAATTTCATCAAGTCTGCGACCATCAATCATTGTAAATGCATGTGTAATATTCCCCAACAATCCCCAAGCAGAAGACCGAGCTGGTTTTGAGAAACAGCTTCGCTTCCTTGTCACACTTTTGAAGACAGTCTCAATACCTAGATGAAGGTTTGGGACTTTGGTTGTATTTCTAGATTTCCTTGCAGCCCTTTTTGTCTGGGCCTTCCGGCTTGATTTACGTACTCCATTGCTCCTTTGTGAAGATGGTAATGCAATGTCATGACACTTGGTTTCAGAAACACTATCAATGCTGAAATGATTCTTTGCTTCATTGACCGTCTCTCCAGAACAGTCACCTGCACTGTTAGAGTCAATAGCACCATGTGGTGATACCTGGGCATATATATCAGCTTCTATCCTGGCTGAGGCATCACTTTCCTGCTCTGGAACCCTCTCTATAGCTAGACCATTGACAACCTTAGAATCTAGTTCACTTCGTATCAGCTTCTGCTCATCATGATAAACACTTTCTTCTGGCAAACCAGTCATGGGCATTAATTTCAAGGTCCTCTCAAGGCCCTGTGATGAAAACAACCAATTGGAAGTATTAGTATCTGTCGCATCTAAAGCAACACTTGTTTCCTCCATAACCCCTCCGGCAATGAGACAGCTAATGATCTGATCACCCTTCTGGTCATCGGGCTGAAGACACTTGCTTGGTGGACATGTAACAGTTGTTGATTCCAAATGCATTCCATGGTCAAGTGAAGGCAATATTTTGTCTTGATTATCAGTCTCTAACCTAGTTAAATGAACACTCCTTTCTTTTGGAACCCCAGCAGGAGACGTACCATCATACTGCTTGTCCAGTTCAACACCATAACCATTCACTGAAATTAATCCAGCAGGGATTTCACAGCCTGACAAAGGTCCTATTTCATTAAGAGTAGCAGTCTCTATTGCAGCAAAACCATCACTTTTTTCTTCCATGAACCCTTCCTTACTAATACTCTCTGTCCCAGCTAAATCATTGTTTCTCTCTTCCATGGTCAGCACCATAGAGGTGCTCCTGTCCTGCTTGTCGTTCTCAACGCCATTTCTAGGCAAACGCTCAGCGGGCATTTCATATCCCAATGAAGGCAATATGTTTTCACAAGTATCAGCAGTCTTTCTTGCCCCTAAACCATCACTTTTCTGTTCCATCACAGCTTGAAGGTCGCTATTCTCTAGCCCAGTTAAATTGTCAATTTTCTCTTCCATAACTGCTTCTTGAGAGGGACCACAATCATGCTTGTACTGTTCATTGCCATCACTAGGCAAACCTTTTTCTGGTAGTGGTTCTGCATTCATTCCTTGACCCGATGAAAGCACTGTTCCATCATGTATATCATCGAACTCTATTGGAGCTAAGCCGCAACTATGTTGTTCCATGACCCCTTGAACACTGACATTCTTATCATCCCTCTGGTCATCTTGTTGATCACCATTTCTGCTCCAATCCTTTGCTTGCATTAATTCTGTTGGCATCTCACTGCCCAGTGAAAGAACTATTTCATCAGAATTAACAATCTTTATTGCAGCTAAACCATCATTTTTCTCTTCCATAACCCCTTGAACACTGCCACTCTCATGATCATTCTGGTCATCTTGTTGATCACAATTTCTAGTCATATCATTCACAAGTATTGATTCTACAGATGTTTCACATGAGATTGAAGGCACTACATCATCAGAAGTATCAGCCTCTACTGTAACTAAACCATCACTTTCCTCTTCTGTAACACCTTGAACACCAGTTTTCTTATCATCCACTCGGCCATCCTGTTGATCACAATTTCTCTCCAGCAATTCCAACGACCTTTCACGGTCTAGAGGTCCACCATTCTTGACTCCAAGCCCTGCTTTTTCTTCCCGGGATCTATCCGTTTCCCCATTACAATCATCTATCCCACTTTGCCTCTCATCCAAACAACCCCCAATAACCCCAGATTCATTCTCCAATAATTTACCTGCTGTTAAACCAACCACACTCTCCCCCTCACCCATCAACCCAATTCCCATATCAGCTGACACAGCCTCAACATCACTGTGGCTGGCACAAACAACATTATCTTTCTGAGACAAGTCCACAAATCCATCAGTCGCACTAGAGGGTTCCACATTAGTATCAATTAGACTGTGAGCAGTCTCCAAGGCTGGCAGCTGCTCAGAATCCTTGATAAATTCCAAGCACGAATGCTGCTCGGTGGCAGCAAGAGTCAAGGGCTCGTGTGGCTCCAACGAATTCTCACACGCCCCCATCTCAGTAAACCAATTCTTTTAACCCAATTACGACGCACCCATCTCCAAGACAACAATAAAAATAAAAACAAACCAAAATTACACCAAATTGCAACCAACCACAATGCACGACCCTAATCGCCCCCAAATCAAAAAGAAAAAAGAAACCTAGCCTCTGTTTCATTCACTCACCATCTCCCTCAAAACAAAAGCAGCAAAAACCGACAAAACAATACCTCGGTCAAAAGCTAGAAGAGAAAAACCCTAGAATCCACCTTCTCTGCAAAAGCAAAAGCCTGTATAATAAGTCCGAGGATAATGCAGATATAAAAAAAAAAAACAATTACCGAATATATATAAATATTTAGCACCCACATCTTTTTTAAAGCACAGAAACAAGGATTATTAGAGAAGCGAAAAAACCTCTGTGTGAAGAAGAGAGGTATCGGGCCGTTGAACTGTTGAAGAACTGAAAGAGAAGGGTTGTTTTCTTGATTTATTTTATTTAATATAAATGTTTTTTTTTTTTTTGGAGAGAGAAAGAAACAGAGAGACTTGCTAATGGAGTTGTCAAAGGAGGAATAGGACGCACGGGTAGGAAAAGCGAGAGGGTAGCCGGAGAGAGAAATCTAGAGAGAGGAACAAATGTTATCGATTTTCCTTCTTTTTTTTTCTCTTTCTTTTATAATGGCTCGGCTTTGTAATGGCTTGGCAGCAACCGTTTGACCCTTACTCGCCTGCGTTTGGTGACGAATGAGATATTACGTGGAGATTTTTCGACACTTGTCATTGAAAGGGCTATTTTGTCATTTTGTTAGATCGAACAAATCATCTGCCTTTTATTTAGTTCCATGTTAGAATTAATTAGGTGCGTATATTACAATAGTATTGGTTACCGGTGGTTTTTTATTATTTAAATTTTATTTTTGATATTAATAAATCAAAATAATTTAAAAGTATTAAAAATAATTAATTTAAAATAAAAAATGTTTTTTAAAAAAATATAATTATGCTGCAATAATAAACTGACTCTAAGTTTTGTTGATCATTTTAATATGTTCATTCAAAATAAAGAGAATTTAATTTTACAAGTGGTTGGTATGAGATCTTTAATTCCATATAAATTTGTCATTTAAAATTTAAGAGCTTTTTGAAAAAATATAGGTATAAAGGTGCTTGTATGTCCAATAAAAAATTAGTTTATACACCAAATAGATTATTCATACTAAATCATGGGCTAGATAAAATAACATAGATTGTGAGGTTATGATAATTTTATAAAACAACAAATAAAAAATATAATAGCCAATTTCATGAAATTAAATAAAATAATAAAAAATAACTAAAAAAACACGCTAGTAAAAACATGGGTAAGCTTTTCAAACCATAAACATCATACCTGATACAAGACAAAACATGTAAAGTTATAAAAATTCAATTCTTAAATCTATTCAATGTTAAAATCAAAACCAAAAAAAAAAATCAATCTTATAAAGCAACTAAAAATATAAACATGAGTCAAATCGGGTTAACCCATTATACCTATAACTTATGTTATGAGACATGGATAACCCTATTAAAAAGGAAAACAAAGAAAATTACGAAGCTTAATTTTATAATAAACTAAAACAAAGAAAATTACGAAGCTTAATTTTACAATAAACTAAATAATGAATGATGAAATTAAAAATAAAATTAGTATAAAAAAATATGTAAAAAATCAATAAAAAAAAAACTTAAGTCAGCATAGGTTAACCTTTCAAACTTACAAAATGACAATATACCTTTTGATTGTGGCTAGGCAAGTGTGATTCCCGAGGAGAGAAGAAGAAACAAATGTCGTCAAAGCCCTACTAATACATTACACCACTCCCAAAAGTCCTCGTTATGTTGCTTCTAATACCACCAAGAAAATTGGTGTTTGATCGCTAAAGAAAGCTGTAAACATCGCCAAAACATGGTAGCTTGTCTCCACTCGGTAGCGTATATATTGCAAGCGCTAGCACAAGTTGCCTTACCTATTGATTTCAGCTTGTCATATTTGTTTTAATTTTAATTATGGCATTGTTTCACATCAGAATAATTTTATTTTATTTTTACAAATTAAGCATTAACCAAGAGCCAAGATTCCACCACTATATTGCGAGATCCCCTTACCCAAGTAACCAAAACAAACTATCAAGTGAAATTTTGAATAAAGACAATATAAAATCATCAAGTTAAAAAAAAATTGAGTAACTAAAAAAACAAAAAGGACATTAAATTTGTCGTGAAATGAGCAAATCATTCCCTGATTGTAGTTAAAAAAAAAGAGGTTGGACATTTATTTAAGCTCTAAATTTGGTCCCTAAACTCTAATTCTTTTAAATCAATGCAATTAAATTTTATTTTGCCAAACCAAATGACAAAATATTTCCTCAACTTTACAAGATCCCTATATATAGGTGTAAAAGACAAAACACCAAAATCAATCATAAATCAAAGCAGTGTTAAAGGACCAAATAAAAACTAAATAGAATTAAGGGATAAAAATAAATAAGATAAAAAAAGAAAGATAAATTATTATGTGAATTCACAGTGATATCTCTCACAATCTACAAAAGATGTCTGATCTTTTTTTGTTCTCTTAGTTTTAGCAATAAAAAAAGAGACTGGGTATTTGTTTAAGCTTTGAATTTGGTTCCTAAAACTCTAATTCTTTTAAATGAATGAAATTTTATTTTATTTTTTCAAACCAAGCTACTAGACATTTTATCGACACTATGAGATTCCCAACACATGTATAAAAAATAAATCATCAAGATCAATTTCAAATCAATGCAATGTTAGAAGACCAAATAAAAAGAATAGAGAATTGAGGGACTAAAATGAAAAATAGAATGAAAAAATACATCAATATATAAATCCACAATGGTTTCTCCCATAGTGTATAGGAGATGTCTTATCTGTTTTAGTTTTTTTTATTAATGTAAAAAGTGAAATTGAAGTTGTTAAGAGGAAGTTTCCAAAAGTACGGAAAAACTCTTAATATATTAATAAATTTTTTAATAAAAGAATGCTTATGATATATTTCCTAACTTCATCCCAACAAATACATTATACATAAATTTATGGGTTTTTAATTAAAAGTTTTGAATAAAGTCACTCTCATTATTTGAATATTAATTGTTTTTTTGGTTTAAGAAAACAAAATGAATTTGAAAAAATAATTGTGAAGTGACAACATTTAAAAAATTGACACATAAGGAATTTTTAGAAAAAAAGTTATTTTTTTTCTTAGTTATTTTTATTTTTTTCTATTTAGTTTAAAAAAGTAAATATTAAGCTTAATAATTTTATTTTTCCTAAGTTGTTTAGGATTTTCATTACTTTTCCTTTACTTTTAGGTTACCTAATTTGTTTATGTTGGGTTTAAATTTATTTAAGAAATTGTAAATCTCTTAAACAAGAGACAGTTAAAATATAAATATTCAATAATAAAATTATAAATTAGGCTTCTAAGTGACAACCTTGTTTGGCTTCAATTTACCTTTTCTAGCTTGATGTTTTCTTTAATTTCTTCTATTTGTGTCAGTTGGTATAAGAGTTTAATGATCCTGAATGATATTTGCTTATTGTGTGCTTGAATAACAATAACCGAAAGAGGTACCAAAAATAAAATGTGCTTATGTATGAGGGAATGAAGAAGTTTTCCTTCAAGAAAAAGACAAAAAAAAAAAAGAGCTTCATTTATATGGAACAATAGAGTAAGTTCGAATTTATAAGGTTACTGAGTTTTATAATTATTTTTTAAGCTTTATTATTTTAATGAATCTTTGTTATTTTTCTAAAACTTTAATAACTCATCGTGTGGGCGTGAGATCAGACTTATTTTGAGGTCAAATTTTAAAGGACCATGACACAATTGAAAAAAAGTTAATTCAACTTATAGGGATGAACTCTTTAAGGAGTTTAAGGTATGAGATTATACATTTTTAAATTGATGAACTTATAGTAATGAAATTGATTATCTTTTAAATTGTTTTAGTAATACTTTTATGTTGATTTATTAATTAATATCATGAGACTTGAATATATTGATAAGTATAATTTAGTGTTCAGAGATTGTTTGATGAATGAGATGTGATCCAGGATGATTGGATCAATATGAAAGTTGTAATGACATTTAATAAAAGTGTTGTGATAACTTGGTACCAACAAAAATAGAGGAAACTCTGTTGAATTATTTTTAAAAAAATCCATAATATTAGACATATTATTCAATACTTGACATTAGTAATGAAATGTTTGAGATTTCATGACATTATATTTGAAGGTGTTACATTCTTTTTTTCCATGCACACCATATCTTAGATGCAAGGAATATTAACATAGTAAAAATAGTTTTTTTATGGAAGTGAAGACCAAAATGAAGTACGAACCTCTTAGATACAGTTAAAGGAATTTCTAGCGAAGGCATTAAGTTTGTTCGACCATTTAATTGATTGAAAATATAAATTAATATATAATTGTTTTTGCATCTCTAATGACATTAATTAGGTTGGAACATGTAAATTAATTATATTTTAGGAATATATTAAGAAATGGTAAGGTATATACCAAAAAAAATTGTTTATCTTTTTTACTACTGATTGTGTGATTGTAATTATATAGACTAGTTAACAACTATGTTGAGTTTTGTTTTTGCTTTTTCTATAGAAAAAATATATATTCTCTAATGATGATGAACCAATTATTTGAAAGATTTGGGAGGACAAGACAAGAATTGATTTGAACCAGTAGTTGACAAGTGCTCGTAAGAGAGCTATGTCAGACAGAAATACCATAAACATTATGGATTGCATTAATAAAGATCCGATTTCGATAAACAATGATGATTGGAATCAAATGATTAAAGAAATTTGGTTCACCCCTGAATTTCAAAGAAGATCAAAATTTATAAGAAATAATCGGATAACTGAAATAGATGGTAAATTAAGCACTCATTCTGGAGGTACGGTATCATTTGTATTATATCGAGCTAGCATGGTGAGGATTATTTATATTTGTTATGTTGGATTTTAAATTTTCATATTTATATTGTCTAATATTTTATATTTGTTGATAGTAAGAAAAACCAGGTGGAAAAGAACCTCTATGGGATGATGTGTTTTTAGTGTTGCATCAGAATGTCAAGAAGCTTGAAACCTTTATAGATAACAAGTCTAAAAAAGTTGTTTGTAACTATTGTTTATGTAATTTCATTATTATTTAAAATTAAAATGAATTTATCATTATATTTAATTTTATTGTAGGAGAATTATAAAAAAGAGATGATTTCAGTATATGAAACTGATCGGAAAAATCATCTTTTATTTAATGGAGCAGCTCGATGTGTGGTTATAAAAGGAGTTATAAAGGGTAGAATATATGGTGCGCTTGGTGTGCCGAAATCCATGATTAGTACGAGTGCTTCATCATAATCCTATACGATGGAGTCAACACTTCCTAACTCATCAATTCAGGCATTGAAAGACAAATAAAGGAAAGAGATGGTCATATTTTATCACTACAACAAGAGATGACTTCAATTAAAAACTTTCTTAGTAATATGGATACCAAGCTTGGGTATCAAATATGGACCAAGGTATGTCGACACCTATGGCTTCATCTATGCCGTCACATATGGCTC